AGTCCTACTTCAAAGGAAGTCAAATCTTGTGTTTTCATTTCCCTCTAGGATGTTTCTTTAGTATAGTTCTCATAACAGAAAGTTAGCATCTTTGCTCCTTTATAATGATGGCCAACAAACATTTCTGAGGAAATCAGTACTATGTCCTCTGATATTGAAGAGCCTTGTATTTTGTATCCCAATCTGGATATCTGAGTCTACTTCTTTCTGTTCACACCTGACCTTGTTGGTTCCACCTCAGACAGCCTCTGAACTGCATGTTACTCACTTGAACCCCAATTCCACTGTCTTGGGGATGTTTCCGGTCTTATCTGGCTGTTACTCCAACTGAACGCTTTCTTCATCCTTCACAGTGGGAAACACCCAAATACTTGCATCACATCCTGCCTGAAGTCACTCTTGTTTCCCAACAGCCCAACAGTCTCCCCGACTTTCATTCACCCCATCACACAGCATTCTTTCTGCTCACCTGCTTTCTGCTTCACAACACCATAAACTAAGGCCACACAGTCCTGGCCTAACATTAGCAGGTTGAGTCTCTCTGCAGTGGTTCAGGATGTGTGACCTTCCCTCTTTGGAATACACTCTGCTCAACTTCCAAAGTCAGACCATTTTCCCTCCTCAGGAAAGATTCCTGTCCTCTCCTCATTCTGTCACTTCTCTCACTGTTCAGATCTATTAAATGCTGTCACTCTCACTGACTCTGTGCTCAGGGGCATGGGCTCCTCTGTCCTTATATGTCCCATGTTTTGGACAGTTTCAGCACAGAATTGGGTGCCAGCTAAGTGGTTGTCTTTTGCTTGGATTTTTAAAAATTCTTACACTAAGTACTAGTGGTGGAGCCTTGGGCAAATTAACGCTTTTGAACTGCATTTTTCTATTCCAGGGATAAGAATTCTTCTCAGATTTATTAGGAAGATTAAGTGAAAATACATGTAGAAATACTTAGCCTTTAATAAGGACAATGATATGCAGGAGGAGAAGGAAGGAAAAGAGTCACTACTGCTGTTACTTGGTGATACAGGAAGAGTAACAACTGCCCTGATGCCAGAAGCCCTGTTGTCCAGGCTTCTACAGTGATTAATCCTTTCTATCCATTGAATAGTGCTCACCATGAAGCCATAACAACACCTGCTATTAGGACATGCAAGGTCCAATGGATAAGGTGTTGGGGCTTCATTTAATAGAGTTAAATCTTTAGTCTCTGCCCTACACTCAGCTGAACAAAGCTAGGAAGAACAAAATAGATAAGAAGGGGAAACAGATAGAGCTGCCATGGGAACCTGGCTGTGGGCCCATGTGACCAATAGAGGACTGTGGAGAAGGAGGAATTCTTAGGAATGTGGAAGCAGGGCAAAGTTTGAACGGGCTGACTACCTCCTGTGGTAGTCAGCCTGATGTCCCAGAAGACAACAAGGAGCAGAGGCCAACTACTTCAGTCAAGAAAAGCCCGACAAATCGGATCATAAAAGGCAGCCTCAATCCTCCTCATGAAGACTTCTCCCAACTCACTTCCTGTTCCCTTG